ATATATATATATATATATATATATATATATATATATATATATATATATATATATATATATATATATATATATATATATATATATATATATATAAAGGCTTCTATGGAACTATTTGAGCAATTTCAATGGATTTTTTTCTTTTAAGCCTGGACACTGTTTTTAAGTAGATCATGCATGCTGATGTTAAATGTATGGAATATACTCTTTGTCTTTTTACTAAGGCAAATCCAGATAATATCTCTACTGAGCAATTTTATTAGTTTAATTTCTGCTATGTGATATACTTGAAACTGTATGTGCTTAACTAAGTTGTTTAAGTACCAGTTAGGCAGTCTCATTTTTGGAACAAAATATGACATCACGATCTTGAAAAATTGTTTAGAATATACAAAAGATTGATTAAAGAGGTGTCTTAGTCCATTGTGCTGCTATAACAAAAAACCTGAGACTGGGTAATTTACAATTAACAGAAATTTATTGGCTCATGGTTCTGGAGGTTGAGAAGTCCAAGATCGAGGTGCCAACATCTGGCGAGGGCCTTCTTACTGCTTCATTCCTTGGCAGAAGGACAAAGAGAGGATGAGGGAGAGAGAAAGGGAGGCTAAACTCATCCTTTTATGAGAAACCCACTACTGTGATAATAGCATTCATTTACTCATAAGAGTAGAGCCCTCATGGCTTTATCACCACTCATTAGGCCCCTCCTCCTAAGATAGTTGCATTGGGAATTAAGTTTCCAACATATGCTTTCTGGTGGACACATTCAAACCTTAGCAAGGCAGGACCCAGGAAAATTCATAATTAATTAATATAGAATAAACAAACATTTGCTTGATGGTAAATTAATAATGTCACCTTCATATATTTATGCCACTTTATTTTTCTTGAAAGTAATAGAACAATATTTCTTTTAAGATGCTTGATAATTTAGACATTTTTGCTTATTTTATTGACTTTTCCTTAGTAGTAATAGTTCTATTTAATAAGAATATTTAATTAGAAAAATATAGCAAAATTTTCCATTTTTCTTGTAATTTGCTAGTGAAAACTCACTAACAGAACACACTATAAGTACCAGTTTTAAAAATATAAAATGATGAAGTTATTATGTTAAATACCCCTCATAAAAAACAAGGATATAAAGGAAGCTATTCCTAATTTCTGGGGCAGAAGACACACATCTTTAAAGGATGATATGGCCAATATAAAAGATAGATTCAGATTCAGATAATTTCAGATTCTTCTGGGAACCCTAGACTACTTAATTTTGGTTTCCTTTGTACATTTCTATGGGAGGGTAATATTTGTAGCTTATTGAGCTTTGCAAAAGAGTGAGAAAACTGAATGCATTTTCCAGTGCAATATTAGCAAGCTGGTTAAAGATGTCCTGGTTTATGACTATTAAAATTATTAAATATTTATTAATAAGGAGATAAGTGAACAAGTATTAATTATATATTATATATTCAGGCTATAACAACCCGAAGATATAATAGCCGTTAAACTAGCACCAGTTGGAATGTTTTCCCATTGAGATTGAGAAGTTGATATCCCACATACATAATAAAAATGGTGGTGACTTAACTCAGTAATTCTATTCAATCAGTAAACAAATACTGGGCCACAGAGATGCATATCAATTCCAGAAGTTATCTTCAGAGACACCTCCTGGTGTGTGATAGCCCTTCAACAGGTAACATATGCCTATGCAATGGGATGAGAGCATAGTATAAAGAATAAGAACTGGGCGCAGTGAAACTTTCGGCATTCATTTAACTCCAGCCCCAAACAATATCCTTCCTAGTTTTAGAAAAGAAAAGAATTCAGCTCAGCAACTCAAATTTGAACCTACAGTCCGATCTGTTAGCCTGTCAGAAACAGTAGAAGATACACTTCCTCTATCTTTGTAATTGTTTATCTTTCTGACCTTCCCTGCCACCAAAAATAATTCCCATTCCCATACTCACCAGCCCTCCCAACACATAAAAAAGAGATTAAATATAAATATAAATTAAATATAAAGCAAATTCATTAAGTAAGACTTTCCGACAAAGGCAATTCTAGTGTAAGGCAAAAGAAAAGCCTCAGCAATTACTTCTGTACCTTTTATCCTTAGTTTCTAGTCATGTTGATCATAGTTTCCTGATAATTCCAAAACATTGTGCATTGCCAGACATTTTTCTTAACCTCCCCTCTCAGAGAGTCAGCAGGAAGGTAACCAGAGACAAATCTTTACTCTTCCTAATGGGCAACAGACTCTACAAAGATGAACCAGACTTTTACAGAGGTGAACCAATAGTGCCAAAATATGAAATACATTTTTAGGTATTCAGGTTGTAAGTAGACGGAGGAGAACTTAATCTCAAGAAATTTTCTCAACACAGGAAGGGGTGGCTGTTTGATAAGTCTTTTATTTATTTATTTATTTATTTTTAACAAACATTGTGAAAACCACTAATAATTCCTACAAGGTACAATAAGACCTTTTAAATATTAATACCACAAACATATGATTCTAGGTCTGTAGATTTGATGTGGCCGGTGCCCATCCTCAATCATGGATCTCATTTAAATTCTTTGGTGCTCTTCTCATGTAAATGATAACAGATACAGATACAATGTCAGAGGCAGCCTTAGAAAACTTCTGCATTTAAGTGGGCTCATGACTGGTTGCCTGAAGTCCCTGAAAAAGACCCACATCCAGGTGCTTTCTTTCTCAGCTCTGCCCCTTACTATTGTATATTTGGACATATCAATCAACACCTTTGCATCTCATTATCATCATGTCTAAAATGAGAATGATACCTACCTAGTTCACTCCTCTAATTATGTATATATGGTTTTTAAGATTTATGTTTCTTTGTAAAGAACTTAAAAGCCAAAATACCCTAACGAGAGAGAGAGAGAGAGAGAGAGAGAGAGAGAGAGAGAGAGAGAGAGAGAATTGACACTTGCATAGTATTTGTTGGGAGTATTGATATCTGGGACACAATAGGTGTTGAACAAATGTCCCTTCCCTTCTCCAATTTTCCATTTCATAAACGGGCAGATTCCATTTGAAATGCTGGCAGTCCAAATTAGTACCAGTTTATTGTCTCTCAGCTACCTCTTGACCCTATTCTTATCTCGTCCCACATCATCTTCCTGTCTTTCCTGGCCTTTCCCTTACAAGGGCCAAGGTCTTTTCCCGTCTCCCTGACCTGGGTCATCATTTTGTAGCCTGTCAGCGAGGGCTCCCCTCGCCAGCTTTAGCTGCTGGCGCGAGTCTCAGCAACTCTAATACTGGAGTGGGTTAAAGCAACCGCTTGCTGGGGCTGAGCGCTCCCAACCCTGGTCCTTCCTGCTCATCCTCTTTGCCGTCTGGCCTCAGAGAAGGAGCGGGAGAAGCGAAGGCATCACTGGAGTGATGACATGTGGCTCTCTCCCTTCCCCACCCTTCACATTTTTCTTTCCACGTGCGGAACCTGGAAGGCTCTGACCGCCCTTGGCTTAGTGGTTGTCATGGTTACAATGGCAACAATATCAGCAGCACCAGACCCAGGAGGGGTCTTGAACCGTCTCCTCTACCTGCCTCTCTGACTTTCCCTCCCTGTGACGGAATCTTCCCCCTAGTCCCCTGCCCCCTCCACACACACTCGTGGACACATTCGTGACACTTTAAGTCCCCCCCCCCCTTGTTTTGCTTGTGCAAATAGCACTAACAAGCTAAGTAGGTTTGGAACGGGGGTTGGTGGAGAAAGAAGAGTTCACGTAGGGACACTTGCCTATTATCACGGTTTCCCTCGAGACTAAATAGCGATAAGTTCGCCTATAGAACGCCGATCCCCATGACACGGACTCCGGGACGTCAGCGGCCCCAGCTGCTGGCCGCGCGGCTCGGGTCCAGCCGCCCAGATTCCAGACGGCCGGGCGAGAGCGCGGCGTCTCCTCCTCCTGTCAAGTCCCCTCCTCACGCTGGGACGCAAGCAAAGCAACTCAGCCCACGAGGCTGAACACAAGTCAGCAAGCAAAGAGAGTCACAGAGCCGAAAACGGCCCGTGCGCTGCCAGGGCAGCCCATGGCCGCATCAACTCCGGGCGCGTCGGGAGGAAGCCGGGAGGAGACACCCGGCGTGGGGCGGGGGCAGGGGCGGGTGTGTGGGGGCACCCCGGGTTAAATGCCCAGCAGGAGGCAAATCGGGGCCTTTCCTGAGCAAGTTAAGCCGAGGGTTCCAACGAGATCCCCCGCTCCAGCAAGACTGCGTTTTGCCGTAACCGCATTTCCCAGACAGCCAGCTTCGTGGCTAGTGTCTGACTCCAACTTTCCCCCTGTGGAGCCAGAAGGATGCACACACTTCATCAGGCGGAGTGTCGCGATTCCCTTGCTAGGGAAGAGGCGTCGCCCACCCCTCTCCCCAAGCGCCACAACAAAAAGAACCACCATGCTGTCCTCCTTCCTTCCCCCAACCCAACGGGAAGAGGAGCGAGAGAGGGCACAGATACCCTTTGGTCAAGTCCTCCCCGGACGGTCCCCACTCACGCGTCTGCAAATGAACCTGCAGCCGGCAGAAGCCACCGGGCACGTTCAGAAGCACTTTCCGCTGCCTTGACCGGGAAGGGGCTGGGGATTGCGAGGGAGACAGGGAGACAACAAAGTTCCCGGGCACGTCTCAGGAGGAAAACTTTATGCAGAGCTGGCGGGCGGAGGCTCTGGATGAGGAGTCCCCGGCAGGGCAGAGGCTGCGGCGAGGTGGGACCGCGCCCGGGCTGCCGCGCTGTCGCCGGCGCCGCGCTCACGGGCAGTCTCCTTCCCCGCGCGCCGACTTTCTCTTCTCCTGTGCGTCTACTCCTTGTCCGCTTCCGAGCGCCTGCTCCTTCTCAGGACGGTTCCTCATCTCCCAGTCACTCTGCATCCTCCCATAGGACCCACAGCCACCCCCAGATGGGGTCATCACTGCTTAACACCGCGGTCTCCAGCGCACCCTCCCACTGGAGTAGCAGGTGATCCGAAACCAGACTTACCTGCTGTGAACTCTTCTGTCCTCCTCTCTTTCCTGATGCCGTTTCAGGGGAAGGGGAAGGGGATGCAGGCTGAGGGCGAGCGCCGCGACGACCCAGGGCACAGGCACGAGATCCTCTGAGCCGCAGCCCGGGCTGAGGCGCGGAGCCGCCGGCGGCCCTGGCAGAGCGCTGAGGCTACGGCCGCGGAGACCAGGCGGGGAGGCAGGGGGCGCTGCTGGCCCCCGAGCGCCGTGCGCGGACAGGCGGAGAGTGAGACACCAGCTGGAGCTTTGGGGAGGCGAGGGTGGCGAGGAAAGGCACGCTCCAAGCGGAAGGGCAGCTTTTAAGTTTGTGGTGTGACCGCAGCAGCTGTCCTGGGAGAGTCTCAGTCTTTCTAAAAAGGGGATGCTGAAAACGCCGGGGATTACCTCTCCCTTCCGATCTCCTCCCCCAGTTCCCGGCCCCCCCCCCCCCCCCCCC